TTGAGCAAGAAAAAAAAACTGCTATAAAACGCAAAAAAAAAAATGAAAATGCCGCTAAACGCTAATGCAAAAAACGCTGAAAAACTCACGTTTTTAACGTGACTTTGCATAGCTACCATTACCAGTGTTATTAAAACGCCCAGTGTGCATGGAGCCTTTGAGTTAGGAATACATACTTGGGGGAGGGGAATATATAGATATACTGTCAGAGTCTTTGTGTCGCAATAAATGGAAAATATTTGTTCTGTTAAAGCCCAGCTGCAGGTTTGATTTTGGGGCCAGTTCACACTACATGCTTTTCAGTGTGCTTTTTTTTCTGCATCCAAAAACGCACAAAGTAGGTTATATGGTTGTCCGTGTCATAGTTCACATCAGTGCTTGCAGTTCCAGTGCGTTCCAGTTGTAGAAAAAAAAAAAAAGAAAAGTAGAACAGGTTGCATTTTTCCTGCACAGAACTGTACTGGAACACGGTAAAACGCACTGGAACACACATGTCCCTAATTTAAACTGAAGAAAAAAATGAACTGGAACGCATCAAAAACTCACATGCAGAAATGCATCTGGACTGTGTTTCTATAGTTTGAACCGGCCCTTAAAGAATTTGTTTTGACCAAGCTGGTCCAAACGGTTTCCTTTAAAAATTCATACACCCGCTGGTAGCACTGTAACTACTCTATGTAGTATCAGCTATATACAGTAAACAACGCGGTGTTACGGCAGTTTGTAACAGGATTTCCAGTCCCATTACTTAACGAAATCGAGTTAGGATGAGCGTTACTTAACCTTTCACAGGAATCCTTGTATTTTATGAATGAATGGAAGCTAAGCTTTTACTAAGGGGGAGATTGTGACATCATACGCCTGCCTCTCCACTTCAGCCAATTTTCAGTCTACCTGGTTACCAGGAATCAGCGCTGCTGTAGAGTTGTATGACAGGTTGAGGTGGCAGTCCCTGACAGAATATAGGCAGTAGGCTCGTATGACATTACAAAGTGGCAGTCCTGACAGGACATAGCCAGTAGACGTCAGTGACAGGAAAGTTAATGAGGAAACCCCCATCCTCTTCCCACCCATCTCCCTTCAAGGACTATAGGTCTGCAAGTAGCGCCAGTACATTGGGGTTGATTTATTAAAACTAGAGTGCAAAATCTGGTGCAGCTCTGCATTGTAGCCAATCGGCTTCTAAATCCAGCTTGTTTAATTAAGCTTTTACAAAAAAAACCTGACAGCTGATTGGTTACTATGCAGAGCTGGACCAGTGTTTTTTTGCATGACAAAAGCGCCTCAATTGCACAAACATAGTTGCAGGACATGTGACGCCCATAAACCTTTTTAGGCATTGCGTGATCACGGTGCATTTTGTCGCGTGGAAAAAACGTGCCACGTTCGCAGCAAAAATGCCCTGCATTTTCAGGTGCCATTGAAATAAAGTGCACCTGAACATGAAATCGCGTGTTTTTTACATTTTCACAGCACGTTTTCAAACCGTTGGCAGAATTGTGGCGATTCCGCCCATAATTTGAAACGTCCTAATATGAATGGAGCCATTGCTGGAACTGATAGCACTGAGTGGGCACTTTTGTCGGTATAACCAGGATTTCTGTTGCCTGCCTCACCTTTTGAGGGGAAAAGATGGCATGCACTGTAAAGTTGGGCTGATACTTTCATATATCGCCTTTTTTTGCAGATTCAAATATCGGACTCATTTCTAAATAAAGGAGTCATCCTGATGCAGTCTTGAGGCATATAATCACCACTGGGTTTCTTTCTTTTTTTTTTTTTTTTTTTTTTTTTTTTGCTACATTAACAAAAAGATACCAAAACTTTTGGAAAAATCCCAACATTTTTTCATAGTTTGGCTCCTCCTGCTGTCAATCACAGCCAGTGGGGAGGGAGCAGGGGACGTGGCCAAGTCTTGCTCTGTGTGTCAATGGACACACACTGAGGCAGCTTGGGAGAAGCTTGCTATGGAGGCACTTGGCATGGGGAGGGTCCAGGAGCACTGGCAGGGACCCAAGCAGAGGATCAGGCCTCTTCTGAGAAAGTATAACATGTTATTTAAAAAAAAAAAAAACAACCTTCGAATCACTTTAAATAACATTTGTGTGACAGTATGGGCTGGAGGATGAGTATTCCTCACAATCTGGAATGGAGATACTAGGAGAGGGCTCCTGATGATGCTGGAGTGATTCTTATGTTCTATGTACAGCTGTTATTTTTATAAACATTTTCTTCAGCACTACAAAATCATGCTGATAGGTAAACCTTTTTTTCTCATAGATTTGCTTTAATGTTACCACTTTTACAGAATTATCTTTTAGAGTAAAAATGTTTTCCTATTTAAACATAACCAAGCATAGCCTTGGACTATGTATGTGTCCCAGGAAAGGAACAGGGTTGCGTACTGTAGGCTATTTGACCCGTACTATGCATTTACGTCATGAACTGAGTGTACGTTTACTGCATGGGCAGCCTGGAAACCAGTTATCCACCAAACTGGTTTGGCCAGATACATCTTAGAAAATCTAAATCATGTAATGTAGTGGAGGCACCTGCCCTTTGGTATTAAACACAGCATTTCATAGTCTAGAGAAACTGCTAGTGTTGTGTCCTCTAGAAAATGGTGATTTGGGTTTTCTGTGCTTGTTAAAGATTGGTGATGTCCCACAGGTTTCATATACTGATTTGTTTGGTTTCAGAGCAGTTATGTGGCTAGTTCTGTGAAGGGAATCCTTGCCTGATTTAGAAGACCGCATGTACCTTCACAGAAATAGTGTGTGTTACCAGAGTACAAATGTACCTATTGTGGTCCTATGATGGCATCTAAAGTGGCAATTGTCCCTTTCTGTGTTTTGCCCCTTAATACGTTTCATTTAAAGTAATTGAAAAAAAAAAAAACTTTACATTTAAATAATACACGTCATATTTACCTAATCTGTGCACAGAACAGCCCCTATCTTCCTCTTCTGGGGCCCCCCACTGGCGCTTCTGTCACCCCCGTACCTGTATAGGAAGCTATTCTGTCTCCTATAACTTTTTCCTATGGGGGCACTAGTGCATGCTTGATCCCAAGCTGGGCTGTTTGCAGCTGTTCAAAGCCTGCAGCTAAGCCTGTGAGGGTGGGGAGAAAAAGAGATTAGCTGCTCCAGACATGCATGATGCTTGATCGAGATTGGGCTCAGGATAGGTGACTATTTGGGGGGTGGGGGGAAGAGCTACTGTTAATTTTTTTTTATTTTTATATTTAGTGCAGAGAATGCATTAAAGGATACGTTCACCTTTTTAACCAAAAATAATAAATTTATATTTTTTTTCGCAGGTAAAATAAATGTACATTTATTATTTTTTTTGTTGCGGGAGCCTGGGAACCATTGCACTGGATCAGCAGATCGCTGGTGCCATGCAGGTCTTCTGCAGATCTGACATTAGATCAGCTTGCCCATACCACAGCACTGTGGTAGTTCATTGAGAACTACAAGCCGACAGCTGTTAAGGCTGTCAGGACTTGTAGTTTCTCATTCACAGAATACAGTGAATGAGCGATGCGGGGAGAGAAGAACCCCCGATGGCTGTTAAAGTGGGGGAGCGGCGGCCGTTGTATTCATAACATTTTACACCCTGAATATTGGTGTAACGTTATGAAAGGTGAACTTATCCTTTAATATAAAAACCTTTTACCTTTTGCAATTACTTTATAGAGCATGTGCTGATTTATGCAGTTTTCTAATTGTTATAGAAGTGTTCCAGTTCTTCATCTGAGTCTGTTGCACCCAGTTTGATGTTTTTCTTGTACTCTATTGCCTTGCTAATTCTGAAAGATGCAGCTTATTTCAGCCAGTTCACTGCATATCCATAGATATTGCTTTTAACTGTTTGAAATGATATAGGCACTGCAGATGATGAGTATGGGTTGTGCTGTGTGTGACGGCTGCATAATGCTTGTTTTAATGCCCTTGGATTTACTAGCTCAAGTAGAGGAAAAGGTTTGATCTAGTAGTCTAAAACCTTGTCAGAACTTTCCAGCAGGACAGTGACCCTAATCATACAGCCAGAGCTACAATGGAATGGTTTAGATCAAAGCATATTCACGTGTTAGAATGGCCCAGTCAAAGCCCAGACCTAAATCCAATTGAGAATCTGTGGCAAGACTTGAAAATTGCTGTTAACAGACTCTCTCCATCCAGTCTGACAGAGCGTGAGCTATTTTGCAAAGAAGAATGGGCAAAAATTTCACTCTAGATGTGCAAAGCTGGTAGAGACATCCCAAAAAGACTTGCAGCTGTAATTGCAGCGAAAGGTGGATCTACAAAGTATTGATTGGGGAGCTGAATACAAATGCGCGTCACAGTTTTCAGATATATATTTGTAAAAAATTTTGTAAACCATTTATCATTTTCCTTCCACTAAATTTGCGTTTTTGGTTGTAACATGACAAAATGTGGCACAAGGCACTGTATATTCACTATATTATCAAAAGTATTAGGACGCCTGCCTTTACATACACATGAACGTTTAATGTCATCCCAGTCTTAGTCCGTAGGGTTCAATATTGAGTTGGCCCACCCTTTGGAGCTATAACAGCTTTAACTCTTCTGGGAAGGCTGTCCACAAGATTTAGGAGTGTATCTATGGGAATGTTTGACCATTCTTCCAGAAATGCATTTGTGAGGTCAGACGAGAAGGCCTGGCTCGCAGTCTCCGCTCTAATTCATCCCAAAGGTGTTCTGTCGGGTTGAGGTCAGGACTCTGTGCAGGCCAGTCAAGTTCCTCCACCCCAAACCCCCAAACTTGTTCATCCATGTCTTTATGGACCTTGCTTTGTGCACTGATGCGCAGTCATGTTGGAATAGGAAGGAGCCATCCCCAAACTGTTCCCACAAAGTTGGGACCATGAAATTGTCCAAAATGCCTTGTATGCTGACAGAGTTCCCTTCACTGGAACTAAGGGACCAAGCTCTACCCCTGAAAATAAAAAACTCCACAATAATCCCCGCTCCACCAAACTTTACACTTAGCACAATGCAGTCAGGCAAGTACCATTCTCTGGTCAACTGCCAAACCCAGACATGTCTATAGAACGCTAGAAACCGAACTGTGATTCGTCACTCCAGAGAACACGTTTCCACTGCTCTAGACTCCGGTGGAGGCGTGCTTTACCCCACTGCATCCGACGCTTTGCATTGCACTTGGTGATGTAAGACTTGGATGCAGCTGCTCGGCCATGGAAACTCATTCCATGAAACTCTCTACGCACTGTTGTTGTGCTAATCTGAAGGCCACACCAAGTTTGGAGGTCTTTAACTATTGACTCTGCAGTCAGTTGACGACTGCATGTGCTGACCCTGCTCTGTCATTTTACATGGCCTGCCACTTCGGGGCTGAGTTGCTGTTGTTCCCAGTTGCTTCCATTTTGTTATAATACCACTAACAGTTGACCGTGGAATATTTAGTAGCAAGGAAAGTTCATGGATGGACTTATTGCACAGGTGGAAACCTATCATGGTACCACGCTTGAATTCACTGAGCTCCTGAGAGCGACCCGTTTTTTCGCAAATGTCCGTAGAAGCAGTCTGCATGCCTAGGTGATGATTTTATACACCTGTAGCCTTGGAGGTGATTGGAACACCTGAATCCAATGATTTGGAGGGGTGTCTCTATACTTTTGGCAATATAGTATATATTGAAGACAGTGTTTTATCCTACATTTTTATGCTCAATTGTTACACTGCAATTTAATGTCCTGAATATAATTACTTTCTTACCAAATTCTGATTACTGGTTATCTGTGTACTTGGAGCATGAGACAGTTTGCTTTGCTTACACTTTTTTGCAAGGGAACTGTCTTAAAGGATTCTCAGAGGTGACATTCACACTAAATATATTTGTCTTTAAAATAACTGTAGGCAAGCACAAATTAAAGCTGAACTGTGGGATGCATGTTAAAAATCACCTAATGGAGGCGTCAGCTACTGTATGCAAATATAAAACCTGCTAATCTGAACCAAATAACCTCCCTTTTGCTGTCAAATTGATGAAGAACCTGTGATCTAATCGCTGCCATTCATATAAACTAACTTCGGCAGGGTCCCTGGAGGAGGTGTTGTGAGGTCACTATGAGAAACTATACTTTTCAATGATGCCATGGGAATTGTAGTTAATGGGCGTTCATTTGCATAGCCTGTCAGGTGTGGAGGGTTCCAAGGCCAGTGGCTGGAGGATACAGGGCACCTGTCTTATAAACTGAATGTGACAGGGACTGAGGCCTGGAATTCAGCAAAAGACATATATGTTTCTCACTCCCACTATACCTTTGATTGGATAGAAGAAATATTTTTTGTTAAAGTGGAATTCCACGGTAACCATAACTACTCCTAAAACTGTTCACTTCTTTCTCTGAACACCTCTGCTTGCTAACCTGTGTAAGAAAGATCTATATGTACTTGCCTATTTTTATGTTGCTCCGGTCCAGTCTGTGATCCAGCTCCCCTGATTCAGCCACCAGTGGCTGTAGGGGAAAGTAGGGAGCACTGAGAATGGATGAGCTATAGAAGCCTATGGGTGATGTCACTGGCATTTCTAGCAGGCTGACAGTGAGAGATCCTGCGACTAGATGGGAGTGGATTGAAAATGGGTAGATCTACTTGGCATTTATTTTCGTTGGCATCTCAAAGTGGTGTGGTTTTGCCATGCAATAAGACACAGTTTGTCCCCCTAAAAGCTGGAGTTTTTTTTTGGTGACCAGCTTCGCACTGCATTTAGGTGCCATTGAAAATGAATGCCACCCAAACAGTATGGTGCATTTTGTCATTAGTGCGATTTGGGATTGTGGATAGAATCGCAGGGACTCTGCCTGAGATCACAAAATGTCAGATGTGAACAAGGACCTTAGTGTTCGTTCAGTAGCAGGAAATGAATCCTGTTTCACCCAACATCCTGATTCTGGACAGCTACATGTGCATGTACACAGTACAGTCCCATCTAGTGGAATTCCTTCCATCTGCAAACATGCTTTGACAAGTATCCTGCGATCAGCTGCTGCAAAGTGATTTTCAGTACAGGTACTTTTGCCACTAACATGCTATGCTAGTGAAGGGATGGACGCTGCTCAGCCTACCCTTGGAGTCCAATGTTGAGGAATGACCTCAGCCACCGTTCTGGCCACAATTTCACACTTCGCCCACCCTCTGGGGCTTGGTGAAATGCATCAAAGGGTGTGGCCAGAACGGCTGCTGAGGCCATTCTTCAACATTGGACTCCAAGGGTCGGCTGAGCAGCATCCATCCCTTCCCTTGTATTAGCTGACACTGGGATCACTCAAACTCATGCTACCCTCTTCTCACTTGTGGTGGGGTGATCTTTTTCCTTTCATCCGCAGCTTGGAGCGGTGCCGTAAGTTATACTTTTCTCTCTTGCTATGCTGTTACTGAATTTCAGGTGATGGTCACTAATACATATTTTGTTTGAGGTTGGTGTGTGTATCAGATGGTTTGTTTCTGAATGATCATTTGAGTTGGTTTGTCAGTTCATGGCTTTCCACATGAAAATGTGGGAAATGGGAGTTCTCTGTGATGAACATATAATGGTTGATGCTGATTAGAAAATAGACATATTACTGTACCTTTCCAGCACATAAAACTGAGTATTACTAAACCCAGGACCCTGCATTCACTATATCTGGTCTCCCACAATACACACAACATGGAAATGCAATTACTTTAGTAAACATAAACTGCCAAATACCTTTTCTGATCAGCAGTATATAGCAGTCTTGTGACTTCTATCAGTGTCCAGCCGAGCACGGATTAAAGATTAAAGACCCCTGACCTCTGAGTGGATAGTGCTGATTGGTTCTGTGCTGATCACATGCACTCTCCTAAGAAAAAAAAAAACCCTCTTTAGCAGTACACACCAAACTGAGCATGCACAGAGGGACTCCACACAATGTTTTATCATGAGATAAGAGGGGGACACTGCAAAGGGAGGATCATAGAAGTCAGGATCAATCAGCCTTTATACACCGCGCAGAGGATTAACCCCTTAGATTCCACAGTGAGTATATCAAGCATGCTTTACTGAATAAACAGACTGATTTTACTGTTGTGGGTTTAGTAATACTTTAAATTCTAATGCAGTCTTTTTCTGGAAATAGTCCTGAGGTACAGATTTGCCCATTCTGAAGGTGACCTCGTGAGGACAGTGCAATTATGAGCTGAAACTTAAGCAACATGCATAGCCGAGGCCACAATTCCAGGAATATAAAAATGTTACCAGAACCCTTGGGAATTAATTATGTAAGAGCTGTCTGCTGCTTGAATGCCTATCCATGGTCTGTGGTTTCTTTAGACTTCATTAAGGATTCGAAGAAAACACAGGAACTGTATGATTTGACTTCAGGCAAGGACACTGTGTGTTGCAGTGGTATAGTTTTATTTACGGCTCCTTTCCAATAGATGCGATATACCACGTTTGTAAGCGCAGTACAAACGCATATCCAAGAAACACAAATGTATTTCAAGGAGCCTAGTTTACATAATTGCATTGCTTTCATGTGTGGGGGGAAAAAACTAAAAACCTAACTGCCAAAAAACAATGCAGATGTGTCCCAAACGTACTAGAATTGTGTCATATACACAATATGAATGCATGTAAACAGGAGTGCAGAGCTGCACTCCCGGCACGGGGACTGTGGTGTAAGCAAGCCCACGCTAAATTAGAATCCCAGGTCTCCATTTATTTTTGCTGCTGTGGCTGTCTTTGGCTAAATGTCTTTTTCCATTGATCTCACATAAGGTGGCTACTGCTTATGGTGGGTTGTGGGAAGAGAGTGCTAGAATTGGGCTTTGGAAGTGCATAGACTACACTGTAATTGCATGTCCTGTTTTTAGTAGGCCTGACCCCTGCAAATTAGAATTGTGGATCCATTATTTTATACAGGTAAAGTGAGACACTTATTTTATTTTATAGGAGGCAACCAAAATGCTTGAATATTGTCACAGTAGCAGTGAAACCTGTATATTTTCTGATAACATAAAGAGAAATATGACTGTGTGTCCCTGAGGCACTGATCTACAGTTTGCAGTGTGTTTTTTTTTTTTTTTTTTTTTTTGGTTTTTTTTTTTTGTTTCGTTTTAACTAGTGTGATGCTTTACAAACAGTAAAGGAGTTTTAATACCAATAACTACATTGTTTATAGACTGATGCTTTAGTTTTAATCATTAGCCTGCTTCATACATCTCATAATTCCAGTAGTGGGATCTCCTTGTTAAATGTTTGGCTTTGTAGGGCTTATTCACACCAGATGTGCTTGGATGTGTTCAGAAACACTTTCCAAATGCAATAACAATCAAAATGTTTCTCAATGAGTGTAGTTCACACCATTGAATTGCAGTTACTTACATATGAAAGAAATAGAGCAGGCTGCATTTTTTTTTTTTTTCACAATGAGCTTGAATGCTTGTAAATGCAAGGCATGTGAATATAGATAAAAAGCAAAAAAAAAAACACCTCCTTGCATGCAAAAAACGCAGGACATTGGAAAATGTGTGAACACGATGACTTTATCTGTGCATTTTTATATTTCATTTTGGTGTGAACCGGGTCTGAATTGTTCAGTGTGAAGACAAGTAAGGAAATCTGCTGTATGTTCTGGATTTAAATGAATGAACACGTTTATCAGTGTCTGATGGCATTAGGGCTCATTCACACAGGCTAAGAGAGTTGTACCCCTGAAACATGAGGGTATCTGTAGTGACAGCTGTTTGCATACAGTAGCCTGTACAAATCAAAGACAGGCTGCAGTTGTGCGCTGGTAATCACATCCGAGCATTTACTTGCCTTTAGGGACAAAACAGTCCCTATATGAAGACACAGATTGCATCCAGGGGCACACATCCGTCCCTGTATGCACATAAATGCTCAGATGTACAGTTACCAGCGTACACCAGTAGCCTTTGATTTGTACCGACTTGTGTATGCAAACAACTGGCACGCTTGGGCTCAGTGATGTGCTTGTTTTACGCTTTTGGAAGAGCAGGAAACATGGATGGGTGTATTTCAGCAACAAATCCAGTAGAGGGAGTTGTGTTACAACATTTACGTAACATTTCTTCAGGTGGCATGTTACCCACATTTCTGTTATTCCTGGTGTTTGCTGTTTATTGGAGCTGGATGGTGGTTCATCTGAAAGTAGATTTAGTTGGTTTTGGTAGAATATCTTCAGTCATCTATAGTCCCCCAACTCCCAGCAGCATTGTTTGTTTTCTCTTCCTTATATTCTAACCATGTACTATGTTAGCAGGTTGTAGTTACGAAGTATAGGTGAACCCTCACCGTATAAAGTAACCCGTTCAGTTTAAAATAAAAATGAAAGGCAAAAAATTTGTGTATAGATAAAAAAAAACAGAAAAATGTTTTCCACCTTTTTTTATAAGTGATCACAGTGAGCCTCTGTCCTCAGCTGCATAAGGAGCTGAGAGAGCTGGGGGAGGAGAAACAGCAGTCTTCCAGGTGAATGGCTGTGCAGGGGGGGGGGGGGGAGCCTGTCAGCACAAACACAGCTAGAGAACTGACCACACCGTGCCTAGTGTG